GGTGTGTGTGTGTGTGTGTGTGTGTGTGTGTGTGTGTGTGTGTGTGTGTGTGTGTGTGTGTGTGTGTTCTCATATGGGTCCTTTCCAGAAAATGTTTCTGAATACCCAGACAATGAGTGCCAGGCTCACCATGGAACAGCATGCTCATGCCGACTCCCCAAGCTATGAATCATTATACTAAGGAGAGGCCTCAGACCCCAAACTCTCCCCAAGCCCCCAAGGAGTGCATATTTCCCACTTGACCTCAGGCTTTTGGCTGGAATTTTGGAAAGAATCTTCACCAGAAAATGAAGCCATGTCCCAGACACATAGACAGGCAGACACACACACACACACACACACACACACACACACACACACACACACACACACACACACACACACACACAGAACATCAAGGAGGTAATGTGCCAAGGTTATGTTTTCATGAAATACCAGGGCCCTTGCAAATAAGTCTGGTTGTCCTTCCTTGGTGTCTTCCCTGTACTCTGCCAAAGCGAGCAATAGGACCCTGCCCTCTTTTAGACTGCTGTGGTTCAGACCCAAGTAGCTGAGGACAGGCACCTTACTTACTCTTTTGCTGCAATGTCTCTAAGGTGCCCTTTTAATTTGAACCTATAACTAAGGAATGCCAGCTCCAAAAAATCTCGTTAAGTTCCTCCTGGGAGGAAGATGGGGCTCAGAAGAGGTAGATAGAAGCTGAGGCTCACTAAAAGTCTTGGGCCCTTTTTTATCCCCACAAGTGCCTATCCATAGTTTCATTGGAAAACTCCTGTGGATAGATGGCCTCTATTGTATGCGAAGGTGCCTGGCTGAGAAAGTAAGTGGGCAGAGAACAAAGGGTGAAGGCAGGCATAATTGCTGATTGTAAACTCTGTCTCATCAGTGATCAATGAGCTGGATGGCCTCGCCAAAGGGCAGGAGACAGACCACCGGGCTGGGGGCTATGCCCGTGTGGTACAAGAAAAGGCCCGAAAATCCATCGAGTTCCTCGAACGGAGATTTGAGAGTCGGGACTCCTGCCTTCGGGCCTTGACCAGCCGTGGCAATGAACTTGAATCCATCGCCTTCCGAAGTGAGGACATCACTGGACAGCTGGTGAGATCTCCAGGAAGAAGGGAAAGCCCATGGTCCACTGTGTAAAAAGTGTTCCTGAAAGGAGGGAGTAAAAGAACCTGGGCAGCCAAGGGATAGCAACCATCAAGGCCCAGAAGGGGAGTTTCTTGTTCCCTGTATCACTGAGGACGGTTAGATTCAGCCAAGCAGAGCCAGAGCAAGCCCGAATGAGACTCCAGGACAGCCCTGGAGGTACCTCTGCCTCTGCATGGCGCCCCCTCCTGCCCAATGTTGCTTTTCACACTGTCTTCTTCCAGGGTAACAATGATGACCTGATCCTCTCCTGCTGCCTGCACTACTGCAAAGACAAGGCTAAGGATTACATGCCCACCAGCAAAGGTACAGTTTGGCCTCTCCTTGGGCCATCAATCCCTCTGCCCTACTTTAGTCCCTAAGAAGAGTCCCTCTACTGACTTTGGCCAAAGAAGTCCGTACAGGGCCTGAGGCCATTTTGTCCACCCTCCCAGAAGTTAGACCTCCTATCATAGCTTCCTTGTCCCCAAAGAATGTCAGGTGATCTAGGAGCACTACAGATGAGCGTCGCTAGCACAGGAAGCCCTGCTCAAGGCATTGTGCTTTCCCACTCAGTCTGCATCCATTTCCTTTCTTGGGTCCTCAGTGAATTCCTTCTGACAACAAGAATGTCTTTATGATTCACTTTGTTCTGGACATGGTCTCCAAAGCCCAGCCCTCTGCCACCCTGAGGAATAGAGCCTCTAGTGGGCACATTTTTTTCTTGGCCATACTCACCTCTCTAGCTACTTCAAGGTCTCCCTTGAATGTTAACCCTTATCAGGCCTGCAGTGGAGGTTCTCCCCAGACAGGAATAGGCCTTTCTTCCTGATCTCTATTGCAGTGAGCTATAGCATTTTACAGACTAACTGGAGCTGGAAGTAGGAGAGACTGAGCCCATACCTGAGTTTTAAAATGTTTTGGTGAGGAGCATCCCACCTCTGGGCCACCCTAGAACTCTCAAGTATCTGACCATCTCAGCCTTGAGTGTCCTGCACTGTGCCACGAGGCCAATGACACACAGAAGACTTTGCTGCTGATTCCCAAGAATTTCTTCTTATGGAAAGGGAATCCTAACCCCTCCTAGCTCAGTTTCATCTCCACTCATACAATTTTCTTTCTGTATTTATTGCTCCTCAGTCCTGGCTTGCTGGTTAACCCAGGAGTTGTATTCTGTCTGCTTCTTCCCACACATTAGTTCAGCCCTCTGTCATGCTTGTATCTCTACACCAGAACTAGTCAGGAATCCACCACTGCTGTTCCACAGAGGGGCTGCCACATGTACTCTCCCTGAGGGCCAGACCTGGAATGTCCAACTGACAAATTAGAATCCTGGCTGAGCCAGGAGCTTGTGACCTGCCCCAGAGGGAAGCAGGATTGCAAAGGTCCTGTGGAGAAGTGTAGCTCCAATACCTCAGCCACCAAACTGTTTTGTTTTTAGCCCAGATGCATTTGGGCTCTACTAGTCCTGCCACCCCTCCCAAATCACCCCCAAACAGCCTACAGAAACCCACTGCCATCCTGGGGACCGCCCCTATCAAAATTACATCAGCAGTGGCTGGTGTAATCAAACCCCATTTGTCAGTGTGAATTCTTAGCAGATTAACTTGTCAGATTCACAGAGAAACCGTCACCAAATGTTTATGTGTAAACGATGTTGAATTTTAAAATCATGTGGATTATGGCGGATGGGGCCTGACAAGATGACAGTCTCTGGTTTCTAACAAAGTGAAGTTACCAGTGTCAAAACAGAGGATGTTTATTGTTAAAAATGTCTCAAAGTATCCACAGAAACCCCTGCAGACCCCTGCCAGCAATGCTGGGCCTTTTCTGGCTGACCTAAGGCCTAGGACTTTTCTGGTCTGAGGCCCAGGGCAGGAATAGTGGAGTTGCAGACAGACCCAGACAACAGCTGGGAACCCCATGTAGCACCCCACACAACTACCCCACCACACACTCACATTCCAGGCCCAGGCAGCAGAAGGGTCTTGGGCCTCCCTTACTCATGAACTACCTTGTTCACCCCTCTCCTTCCTCCACCATCAGCCCCCAGGAGCTTCTTCCTCTTCACCCCCAAATTCCTTCCTAGGCTGAAAGCCAATTCTCGGCCTCCCCGCCTGGAGCTGGCAAGCCCAGAACTACTCAGGTCAGACATGGATGTTTGCAGTTCTCCAACCCGCCAGCCCTAGCAGTCCCCAAACACCACAGGACATTTCCTTGCCTTTACTCTCTGCCAGACCTCTACTAGGAAATGCCAAGCCAAGGCTGAGGGGTAGACCTGCCACCCAAGCATCCATGCCCAGGGCTTGGAGTAGCACTTGAGTGATAATTTCTCTCCTGTACATTAATCAGAGATAAGGAAAAGTTATCTAAAAAGACAAGACTATCTGTATTAGTGCAGAATGAGTTTTAAATATGTAACATATATAAAGAAAGTGTGGCTAATATGATCTCAGTGTTACGGGGTGGGGGGGGAATCTATACATATGCCAGTGCATATATTTACAGAAGTGCATAAGGATTCTAGAAGGCACAGAGTTACCTGGGGCACAAGGCAACTGGTAGGACAACCCTGCCTCTGCTTTTCTTTTATCCTCTGTACTGTTAGATGTACGCAGGTAACTTATTAATAGATCCATTAGCCGTAGCCACAAGGCCCCTTTAACACAGCCTCTCCTGAGAGTTCCCTGGAGCTAACCCCTTTCCCCACATTTATAAGCTGTTCCCACTTTCTATTCATCTTTGGATTTTTAACCTCTGGATACATAAAACATACCCCAGCCTTAGAAGGAGAAGAATGTATTGGGGTGGAGGGGAGGTAATAGGAGTCTAGGCCCAACAGTATAGTTAAGAATAGAAGGCAAGGGGCCAGTTCCTATTAGTTCAGAGTCCTGGAGGACAGGTCTGTGGATGCTAACAGGATGAGTGCTCCCGGCACAAGAGTCCTGTGTAGGAAGTGGCAGTTTACAGCAGCAGCACAACTCTACTCTTGCCTGGCTTCACCCTCTAAGCAGCAGGGGAGTGGTACTCCGAGTCTAGAAGAAGGAAAGTGCTTGCCCCTCCAGGACCACATTCCCCTTAGGACAAGAAATGGCATTTGACACTATGCTCAGTAGAGCCCATCTGCTTTCTGTGCCAACAGAGGAGCCCATCCGCCTGCTACGGGAGGTGGTGCTGCTGACTGATGACCGGAACCTGCGTGTGAAGGCACTGACAAGGAATGTGCCTGTGAGGGACATCCCAGCCTTCCTTACGTGGGCCCAGGTGGGCTGAGGGGGCCACACTGGGGCCCACCCCCATGGAACCATTCCTGAGAGGCCACTAGGCGCCCAGTGTAGCACGGAAGATGTCCACGTGCCTGAGCCACCAATCCACCCAGACAATAAACCATCCTCTTCCAACCTCACGCCGTGGCCGTGCTGTGGGGGAGTCGCTCCTCACAGAGCCCCTCCCAAGGGTCAGGCGGAAGCTGCTGGGACCCTCCTAGGCTGCCAGGTTTAGCAGGGAGGTGACTGGCTACAGTGACAACAGGTGGACAAGCCAGATAGGCCACCAAGCTCTCAGCCTTTCTCCCTCCTGTCTAGTTTCAGGGCTGGAGGGAGGCCTACTCACCCCGGGGACCCAGCCACTCTGTAGTGGCACTGGGGCAGAGGTTCCAGAGTTTCCATCGTATGCAAGCAAAATGATAGAGCCCTCAGTCTGCAGAACCTCTGTCCTGAATGTCTGAGAGGCTTTTGCTGTCAGGAAGAGAGTGCCCAGGGGGGTCACCATCTCTCTGAGGCCTAAATCCCCTACGGACCCACACTGGGTTCTGTCCATAACAGCATAACAGCAGCCCTAGCCCTTCACTACACACACACACACACACACACACACACACACACACACACTTCTCTTCCTGTCCACATCAATCTTTGTCCTTGCGCTTTGCCCTTGCTTTCCCTTTGGGCAGTCCTGGGTCTAGAGGGAAGGAACGTCTAGTCTTGGGCCATGCTTCCTGAGTGGCCCTCCACCTGCATATGCTGTCAATTCTTGGTTTTCCTTTCACTCTAGTACCCTCTTGGGGAAATTTCCTCAGACTCTTCCTGTTCCTTCTTTGTCTGCCTTCCCTTTCTAGTTGGCCCCTTTTATCACCACTAGGCCCCTCAACTTCCTCACCATAGTTCCTTGTGGGGCTTCTCATTCTTAATCTTCCCCCCTGCCACCTGTGACAGGAACCAAATAAAGCTTTCCTGGCTGTCCTTCCTTTCCAACCCTCCTCATACCTGAGAGGCTTCACACTGGTAAAGCTGAACCCAGAGGCAGAGGCAGCCCAGGGCCTGGGGTGTTTGTCCTGTTCCTGGCTTTGTCTTCTGCTTCTCTACCCAGAAGAGGGGACACGGGACCCTTTAGCCTATGAGGGTTGTTTTTTGTTGTGGTCCCCCCCCCATGCTGCCCCTCTGTTTACAACCTCACTTGGAGGCTCCCTACCAGGAATGAATTCCTTCAGTCCAGCACAGAGGTAAAGGAGGACCAAGAAGGAGAGTAAATCTCAATAGGATCACACAGCCCACTGCCTGACTGTACCACCTTCTGGGAGGAGCAGTGCTTCACCAAGGGTGCTCTGTCCTCTTCAGGCTCGGATCCTACCAGGAGAGGGCTGTGCAGGAGAGCCCAGGACAGTGATTTGGGGGGTCCAAATGCCCAGCGCTCAGAAGACTGCCTTTCTGAGTTGTAAGGCCCAAGATAATCCCTTTGAAGGTCCTCTCTCCTGGCTATGAAGGCCACAGGCTGGGGGTTGAGGGGGGAAGCAGGGAGAACACCTTTCTTCTTTCTGTCCCATTTGAAACCCTGGTTTTGTTTCCTTAATAAATTTTTAGTTATGAAACAATTGACCTCCTATTGGTCTATTTTTGGGACTGAGGAGGGGAGGCAGGCTCAAACCTGTACACCTGTGTTGGGGCCCTGCCACCCACCCTGGTGCAGGGGCAGAAGAGAACCACAGGATTAGGGACCTTGGTTACTGCTTTATTGCTGTTTGGTTGAGTATAGAAAATGGAAGCGGCTCTGGAAGAGCCTGTGTACAGAGTAGGGAATATACAAAGGGACAGAACGGGAACCAAGGAGACCTCGTTCCAGCCCAGCTTAGCTAGGCTCAGGATAGGGGCCACCCGGGGCGCATGCAATAAATACGATGGGGCCCCAGGGAAAGGAGAGGGATCTCAGAAGGGGAGTCAGGTGGGCCAGGGCCGTTATCCCTGGCTCCAGATCTGCCCACCCTGGTGGATCAGGAAGGGAAGGGTTGGCCCTGGGGCTAGTGCCACTTGTGCAAAATGAGGAACTTCACATTATCAGTCCCGGGCTGGGAAGGAGCGGGGGGCGGGGAGGCCCTCCGGCCGGCTCAGTCCCCTCCCCTCTCCCCAACTGTGCCCAATGCTCCGACCCCAGCGGGGAGATTCACAGTGAGAATGGGTGTGGTCGCAAGGGCCGGAGGTAGGGCTGGGAGCGTCTGAATAGTGACACCCCTCCCCCCAAGAGCAGCACGGAGCCGGAGGAGGGGGCCGACTAACCACAGGGAGAGGCGGGGTTCTCCTTTGGTCAAAGCTGATATCAAAAATATAAATCTCCCTTCCCCTATCCCACCCCCGTCCCGGGGTTTTCCCCCACCGGCTCCCCCGGATTAAGGCACAAAGCAGTGAGGCCAGGTGAGGCATAGAAAGGTGGGGCCACCACTGCGGCGTTGCCGCTGCTACCAGTTGTCCCCGGGCCGCCGGGTAGCCGGGCGCACCTGCGAGGGGCGCTTTAGGTTGGAGAGAAACGGTCGATGGTCCGGCCGTCCGGCCCCGCGGCCAGGTGCGCGCCCTGGCTCAGCACCTCTGCCGCCTTATCCGGGCTGAGTCCCAGCTCGGCAGTGAATTTGGCCAGCGGGTAGAGGCTCTCGAGCGCCACCTTGGGGTCGTGCAGGAAGTGCGTGGTTTGCGCCAGCAGCTCCGCCGCAGCTGCCTTGTCCTGTTGCTTCAGGCTCAACTGTTCAGCTGTGAGGCGGGCCACAGCAAAGACACCCTCCGGGAAATCGAGCTTGCCCTTGCCGTCGGGGCCGGCAACGCCAGGTAGTCCCCCGAGGCCAGCCAGCGCCCCAGCTGCGCCGGCCGCGCCACCTACTGCGTGCATCTTCATGTGGCTGATGAGGTTGCGCTGTTGAGCAAACTTGCCACCGCACACCTGGCACTCGTAGGGCTTCTCTCCCGAGTGGATGCGCATGTGCTCCGTGAGGCGGTACTGGCGGGTGAAGCGCATGCCGCACGCATCGCACGCAAAGGGCTTCAGGCCTAAGTGGCTGCGCATATGGCGTGTCATGGTTCCACGCTGCGTGAACTTCTTCCCACAGATGGTGCACGGATAGGGACGTGTCAGCCAGTGCGTCTTCTCATGTTGCCTCAGCGTGGCCGGGTCCTTGTAGCTCTTGTCGCAGGACGCGCAGCGGTAAGGCCGCAGCAGCTCTCCTAGGCCACCTGGGGCCCCAGCAATCTTGTCCCCACCACTACCAAAGGGGGGCCCGAGGCCGGCGGCCCCGGCAGCTACCTCAGCAGCCTCTGCCCTGCCATACAGAGCCTCCTCTTCCTCCACGTGAGCCTCCACGTGAGCATTCAGCTGTTCCGAGCTGGGGAAGCCTTTGCCACAGGGGATGCACACATACAGGTTGTCACCAAAGCTCTCAGGTTCGCCATAAGCCAAGTGCGGGCATGGGTAGCCCTCCAGGTGGCCACCGGGTGGGCTGGGGTCCTCGCTGCTGCCAGTCTCCTCGCTGCTGCTCTTGTAGTCGTCGCCGTCGGCGCCTGTGCCCGGCCCGTCCAGGCTGCCCGGGTAGCGTGGCGGGGGCACCAGGCCGAGCGGGGGACCCCCGGGTGAGGCGGCCGGGTCACCAGCGCGTTCCTCTAAGCGCTCGCCTGGGGAGCCGCGATCTCGAACCAGATCATCGCCATAGCTACCCAGGCCTGGCTCGTGCTTCATCCAGCGGTAGAGGAGGCTGGAGCCGTCGGGGCGACCGGGGGGCTCGGGTCCCGGACTGCCGCCGCTTCCTCGAAACGGGTCTGGAGTCGGTACGGCCTCCTCCAGCTTCTGGAAGGGCAAAGGCGGCAGCGGTGGCAGGGTGAGCGGTGGCTCCTTGTAGACTGCGGAGCCCGCCCCGGGAGGGCTGTCCGGGCGTGGAGGCAGCTCGCGCTCACTCAGCGGTCGCTCCGGGACCGAGGAGCCTGGAGGGCTCTTCTTGGACAGATCCAGGCCGCAAAGCGGAGAGCAGCGGCGCTCCGGGGGGGAGAGTGAGGCTGCTGGGCCCGGAGCCGAGGCATACAGCTCGGCGCAATGGGTGTTGA